GCAAATTGGATAAACACTGCAAGCAATATGGATTAGTAAAATTGTACGGATATGAGAAATACCACAAAGAAGGTCAGCGGTCCTGTGAATGCACTCTCACTCTGGTAACTCTTGCATCCGTCGATCAGTGCAGCAATCACATATTCACACCAGTTCTATTCTGTCACCTCATCCATGTTCGTGAGGGACATCAGGATGTTCATACTGATTCTAGAGCTGGTGTTTCCATATAGGAAGGTGCTCACAACGAAGACCAGAAAATCTCGTTTAAAGTCATCACCATAATTTCTTCGTTTGGCAATTATGTCTGCCACCATGGATTTGAGTGGTGGGTACTTATCGTATCCCATTCTTTTTCTGAATGCATCCACCATCTGAGCGTACTGTGGTTTATCCCAGTCGTTCGATTTGAATTTTTTCACTTGTTTGGGTCCACGAGGTCGTGTACAACAACAACATCCTCCTCTTTGAAATCCAGTACGCGGCTACCATTCAACGGGACTTGTTTCACACAGTCTAGAAACTGTCGGCCAGAAAACTACATATATGTGGTAGATTTCTTTCAATTTCGAGGTCTAGCAACGCGCCAAATCCCGTATCTCTGATCGCTTGCCTTCGCATATTTTGAAAATCTATCGCACCTGGTTTTTGTTCAACATCTCTTGTTTTAATGATTTCAGTGATGACCTGGTGGAGATAGTTTGGTGTCATCCTGCTCTGAAATTTCTGACACAAGATTCACAACTGATTGGCTGTGGATCTTGACCAATGACCAGTTTGTTCTCAGCTTTCCTTATTTTCTTTGTGCCCATTTGCTTTCAGCAACCACAAGTTGCTTTGAATTTTCTGTCAGTGTGCTTTTTTTTTCTTTTTGGTTTCCTCATCGGGAGGTTTGGACTTCGAGGAGGGGACTGTTCTTCTTGTGTTGATTTTTGTTTTTGATATACTTCCAATCTTCCTTCAGGGAGATTCATTACAACTGGGGGAGGATTCGGTGATCCATCTGGCTTGTTGTTAGTGGACATATGTCATCTGTGCCTATATTTTGTTCTTTGCTCCTTTAGAGCACTGTTGGCAATGGACAATCAATAAAAAGTTAGTCGACAAAGTAGCATCATATGAAAAGCAGGCATCAATAAGCACAAGCAGAATTTATAAGCAGTCGAAACGGGACAAACATGCAACAGAAAAGGCATTTCAGTATGTCCGACACAAAAGACATGGATAAGCTATTCAGATCTGGTGGATAAGCAGTATCGCAAAGATGGATAACCAACAAATGAAGCATGGAGAAGCAACCACATACAGGGTCAACCAAAACCGTCCCATAGTAGACGCACAAAGGAATGGGGTAACCAGTTCAGATCTGTTGCACAAGCAGTTCAGAAAACATGGACAACTAGTACAACAAATATGGATAATCAGTTCAGATCTAGTGGATAAACATCACAACAAAGATGGATAACCAGCAAATGGAGCATGGGCAAGCAGCCACATTGAAGGCCAACATAAAAAAAAGCATGGATGACCAGTTTACATCTTGCGAATAACCAGTACAACATAGATGGATAACCAGCAATTAAAGCATGGACAACCATCCCATAGCACACGCAGGTAGGCATGGATAACCGGCTCAGATATGGTGGGTAATCAGTACAACAAGGATTGATAACCACCAAACAAAGCATGGACAAGCAGCCACATGCAAGGTCAACCAAAAAATGCATGGACAATTAGTTCACATCTTGGGGAAAATTAGTACAACATATATGGATAAGCACCAAATAAAGCATGGCAACGATCCCATAACACACGTAGGAAGGCATGGATAACGACTTCAGATCTGGTGGATAATCAGTACAGCAAAGATGGATAACCAGCAAATAAAGCATGGATAAGCAACCTTATACATGCCCAACCGAAACAATCCCATATCAAACGCAAGAAGGCATGGATAACCACTTTAGATCTGTGGATAAGCATCAAGTACTGCTGGATATTCAACAAAATATTAATTGATACACAGCGAACGAAGTGTACTTACGATTCAAGCATGTGTAGCAGTGAATCTCCTGAAATTTTGAACACAAAACAAGTATAAAAATCATCAAAAATTTCATCTTAAAGGAATAGCGAAGGAGAAGATGAGATCTTAGTTCGAAAAAAGGCACAGGAAAGCCAAACCAATTACCTTTCTATTGTTTTGCTAGGAAAAAAAATGATTACACAGTGAAGCCGTTGTTGGGTTTTGTTGCCGTCGTGCGTGTGCGTGCGTGCGTGCGTGCGTGCGCATGTGTGTGTGTGTGTGTGTTTGTGTGAGACAGACGAATGCGAAACTGAAAAAATGAAAAGACGCAGATGCAAGAAATGAAGTTGAAGAGTTGGGCGTTAATGCGGTGCGTGTTCGAAGGCGTAAAATTCGCACATTATGAAAGATTGGTGCGTGTGTATATGGTAGGGAGTATACCGTATACCCGAGTATACTGGATACAGACTCCTCATAGATAACCTGATTTTGTTGAGTAAACAAAGAATAAACAATGCAAACAATTGTTTTGTGCTATGAAAATTAAATAATCAAATTTTAGTCGAGCAAACTTTGTTTAGTGATAATCTAAAGAAGGCCTTTGTTGAAATATAAGTACATGAAATCAATATTACCCCCAAAAGATAAGAAAGGTAACAAAAAATCAACATTCTTTGAGTAGACAATCTTACTTAAGTCAAATTTCATTTATTGCAATATGGTAATTAGGTTTAGAAGTCTACGATTGATCTCAAAAACGAAAGAAAAGGGTAAAAAAACCATGCCGGGTTGAGGGAGATTTTTTCATTCTGTTAAACATGTTTCGATTGTTATAATAGATGGAAAAAGTTTCTTTGAATGAATAAATGGATAGGCTAATTATGATTATAGGAGAAGGTAAAGTACAATATATATCAACCGAAAGGATCACTCTCTTACTAGTTTTCCGATTCTTCTTTGCATCTTCTCTACATATTCTCAACGGTTTAAGGAAACATTCTTGAGTCAGCGGATGGAGAGAATTAATCACGTAGTTCTTCTAGTAGTCCCACAAATTAATTAAAATTAGGAAATCACTATTTCACAAGTCCTATTGGGAAGATGAAAAAGTCACTATGGAATCTCTCTGTCTCTCTATATATATAGCAGATCAAATATATAGAGTTTCAGAACTCATCTTTGAGATTCTTTGTTTTCCTTATTGCTCTCATGATGAATATACTACCTAACAAAATCATGTCTCCATATGCCCTCGGAAAGTGGCTCTACTCACTCTAGAAACTTTAGCAACACAGAATCATCATTCATTGGACAAAAATCAAAACCCTAACTATTATAATATATGTATTTATTATAACAGACTTGTGTATCAAGTTTTGTTATTGCCTATAAATAGCGTATATATTGTACATCATAATTCAATAGATATACAATCTCTGTTATTCTAACTTGGTATCAAAGCTAGAGTTTTTTTCTCCGGTCGCCCATTTTCTTCTTTCTCTTGACCCTCCGCCTGTTCCTTTTCCGTGGTTTTATTGACTTTATTCCTCTCCCTTGTCATTGCATGCACCTTTGCTACCGCTTTCCTCTTTTCCCTACTTTTCTTATTTTCCGCCGTCTTTTCTTCTTCCCTCGGGTGGCGCTGCTGCGTTCTTCCTGCAGCTACGTGTTATTCTTCCCACGGTTCTCCTTGCCAAACTCTAAAACAAAAAAAAAACAAAAAGTTCCTTTGCTTACACCCCCCACGCACCCACCACGCACAACACCCTCACGCAATATCACTACTTTGCTCCCATCACCTCACCATCCTCATCAAGACGTAAACCCTCCACGCAGCCATCATCCATCATCATCATTCAATTATAGTTGTAAGTATCGTGTAATACCAAATTTTACTGAGTTTCGAAAATTATAATATGAGATAGTGATTTTCAAATTGAACTGGGCTTAATATTACTTTCCTTAAGGTGAAACCTTTCTTGATAATTATTTCTAACTTGCGTCTTCAACTTTATCTATATTGGCACGCTTGCGATCATATATATTAATATAGAAAATTTTCTGCACATGTAGCACAAAATTGTGAGTTTATAAAATTCAATTGGTAAATAATTATCAATTAGATGCGTTAACTTTTCTATGTAACGTTTTAATTTAATATTTTTACAAGTTATAAGAACTCGTCGATTCTTTAAAACAACCAGCTCGATCGGCTCTTTTGATTTTTCTTCTCTTCTTCTCACGATCGGCCGCCGCCCGCCATGGGTCCAACACAACCAACTCAAACTCCTAACCAACATCTTTTCTATGCTAAAATTCTACGATCTAATCGAAATCCAAAAACCCTACACAACTACTATACAAAAAATCAAGATCTAAACCCACTTGCGATACACACTCGGAACCAACTTTCTTTAAAGGAGAACCGACTTTTCTGCTTAAAAAAAAGAAGATGAAAGAGTGGCTGCCCCTTTCCGACTTGCTCTTGTCGGAAAATTCACCGAAGGCCGGCCAGAAATGGAATACTTGAGGAGAGAATCCCAAACAATTAGCTTCAAAGGAAGCTTCTCACTTGGAATCACTTGGAATTATCGACCGCCGACATGTCCTCATTTGTTTCAACCTGGAGGAAGATTATCATCGCTGATAGCTGAAAGGTTTGTGGACCTTTGACACACACCGGATGCGAGTTCTAAAATAGACAACAGATTTTAATCCGGTACATAAAAGCTCCATTGTTCCAGTTTGGGTTTCCTTTGAAGGTCTCTCCACTGATCGCTTAAAGGAAGAATACTTGAGGAAACTTGCTAGCATCATTGGAACGCATCTTCAAATAGACGTCCCAACCCTCAATATGTCACGATTCTCAATGACACGAGTTTGTGTAGAGATAGATTTCCTCAAGGATCATCCCATTTGAATTAGACTTGGAGTCGAAGGGAATTCCTACTTTCAATCAATTCTTTATGAGAACATGCCCCACTCTTGTCGACACAATAAACTCCTAGCACCACCAAAACCGGATTCGCATCAACTCACAAAAAAACCATCAAAGCAACCGGTACCAGAAAAGCAATCATGTAAAGTTCCAGAATTATCACCGATCTTGGAGTTGCCAACAGGAGAAAAAACTACAGAGGCTCAACTTGTGGATAATCAGGAAAATGTATTGTCTGCACCGCCACTGTTTCTTGATCAGCAAGCCACCACTCTGGAGGATTCGCATCGATCAGAAGTGGAACCTCCAATGAATGATGGAGAGAAGCAACCATCAATCGCTGCTTTTTCTCAACAAATTCAGAAGCAAGATGGTCATCTACAATTTCCGGTGATTGATGGAGGGGAATCTTCATCAATGGACGCTTCAATGCAAGGTGCTGCTCATCGATCTGCAATGGAGGAAGGCCGGTGGGAGTCTCCTGTGGCTACCGGTGGAAAGGAAACTCTTATAATTTCGCAGATTCCTTCAAAGGTGCAACTAAATTCCATATCTCTTATAGTTGAACGAGTTACGGAATCAATGCTCCCAAATCAATCCAATCAGGATTTTCAAATTTCAAACGAGATCAATCTTCATGATACCGCAACAAATCCCTCGACTAATGATCAATTTTCGGCGAAATCAGCAGAAATTCCAAGCAATCCCGCATTTCAAGATCTCGTAACCAATGCTCCCGCGATCCCGCAAGCATTTCCCTGTCAATTCCATGTAATTCCAATTAACTCCGAAGATTTATCTCCGGAATATAGTTCTGCCAAAAGTTCAAACGGAAAAATTAAATCCTGATGCCGCGAAGTACTCATCTTCCCCTCAATCACAAATACTTCTTCTACAAGTCTGGTTTACTATCCCGGCTCCAGCCATGGAGAAACTAAACAAAAAATTAATTGTCAAAGGATGATACCTCATTAATTCTGAACGCGAACAAAATCAAGTCTCCAATTTCTCGGATGATGAAGAAGTTGATATGGATCTAGTAATGGAACGGGAGTCCTTCTACAATGAAGTACGCTCATCCAGCGGTTCTACACCACCACATCACCATCGCAAGAAGAAAAGTAAGGGCAAAGCCAATGTTAGAGTTCGTCGTTCTTCTAGATTAAGCAAGGATATAAATTTTGCATAAACTAAAATTGTATTTTATATAGGGATCAGTATATTCGCTATCCTATTTCTTTTCATTATTTTAAATAATATTATTTTGTTTGCTTAAAAAAATAATAATATTTTTACAAGTTTAAAAAGATAAAAATTATTTAACACAATCAAGATATGAGGCAACCTATTTAATATGTTAAAGATATTTTAATTTTGAAAAGGTACAAATTTTTTAGTTATAAATGAGGATTTAAATGTATGCTTCTTTTTAAAAAATAAATAGATAGAGGGGATGAGGATTACAACAAGATTTTTAAGATCAGTAACCTGTCTCCTTTTTACGTAAGTATTCATGGGTCTTTTCCGTAAAATCAAATATTTTTATTACATAAATCATGCATCGTACTCATAATTTTTAATCATTGTCATAACAAATCATCTTAAACAAAAACGATATTCAAAAAAAAAATGAAAAAGCTTTTCATGTTATCAGAAAAAAAAAACCAACAACTTTCTTTTTTCAAAGAGAAATAAGAACGGGATTATGATAAAAACAAGTTAAAGCTAAAACAATTTGTACTCAATTAGGAAAATTTATTGATCCACGAAAATCCAAATCCTTATCACAATTTAACGGCCGGGATAGGTAAAATTAAATCATTTAAATTTGATAAATCATCTTCATCAAAATGATTGATTCTTATCATAACAAACCATCTTAAATAAGAAAAAGATCTACATTTTATCATAAAAAAATCATAGGCTGGGTATGATTAAACATTTCCCTTTTGCTTTTATTCATTTATTCAATCAACGTCGATGTTAATTTTTCTTGAATAATGATATTTGCTTTATAGGATGACATTACATTGATTTACTTTTCCCATTATTTGAATTTTTATATAGATACATTTGATTTTGTAGTACGATGGTTTGATATTCCAAAGAATTGCCAAAGAAATAAATAGGAAAAAAATGAAGTTACCAAAGAATTAATGTTGAATAAAAATTTAAGAAGGGGTTATTGCTTTGATATTCTAATTGTTAAGTTGGAAAATCAAGGAAGCTGAACCCAAATGAAATTTCTGAATCATCTTTATACTTAAAGAAGAATGGTACACATCTCACCTAATTTATCTCATCTTTTGATGACATTTAGTTATTTGATGAAATTTAATTAGTGAAATAATTATTAGAAAAATCTTATAAGTTAATTTAATTATTTTTCGGTTAGGTATATATAATTTTTGAATACTTTTATATCTAAAATTTTAAATTAAATAGACTCTAACCTCGAAAAAAAAACCCTTTTAGATAAAGTTATAATAATACAAAGTATTATCACTAGGACTAATATTAATAAGAAATTAATAATATTTCAATTAATTTATTTAGATGCAAAGTACAAGATGGATTGTCCAATCAATAGATGCCATGTAAGGTGAGATGGAATGGTGAGATGAATATCATTACTCATACTTAAAATACAAGATCCACGTATTATTCATTGAAAAATATTCCCACTTGGTCCTTTTTTTTTAGTCGGCACAGTCCATCAAAATAAAACCCCATCTTTAAAATCATATAGAGTGGGAAAAAAATTGTTTGGAACAATGCTCAAAATTTGAGCCAAAAAATTGTATAATAGGAATAAACGGGTTACACAAAATAATCACTTTCAATTTATTTGATCCTTTTGAAGAAAAAATATCATGCATATAATTAATTTTAAATTATTTAATCATGTATATTTTTTCCCTCTCATTTTAAATACCCGCGGAACGTGCGGAGCAAATACTAGTAAAGATTATTAAAAGATGACTAAAAAGGAAAGCTAGTCCAGAGAAGTTGCATAATAAAAACCATAATTTTGGGCAGGGTTGAAGTTAAGGATGGGCAACTTTTTTTTTGGGGGAAGGGGGTGTGGGAGATTGAAGGCTTTAATATTAATTAGAACTACTCGGAATTCCCATTTAATCCGATGATGCATGGTTGATGCAAATATTAATAATCACTTAGTATTGCATAGCAGTAATTTCACGCTGAATATTCATATTGATCAGCTATTCAGATTTGGGATTTCAATAATTAGGTCATATGAAATGCTTTCATTACTTAAGAGAATATCTTGTGGGGTAAAGAAATTAGGATCAGTAAATGGAAGTCTGGTGGTAATGAAGGAAACTGTTAATGGTAAGGATGAGTTTAGGTGTCCATAGTGTTTTCCTCTGTGCAATAAGCCATGAAGAAAGTGTTTTTGAGATTAACAAAAAGAGAAAACTCTCCATCTTATAAAAATAGACCATTTAGTGATATAAAAATAAAGTAATATTTTATTTTTATGAGACAAAATGAGTATATGAATGATTTCATTATCCCGAGTTCCGGAGTAATGTAAAGACCAAATTAATCAATCATAGAGAAAATAAGTCATCTTAATTAATATTTTGAATGTGAAAACTCCAAATAAGTTGCTTAAAACCCAAAAAAGAAGAAAAAGAATAATCCCTCAAATTTGAAGAAAATAGCCAATGGATTTCCCCTTGCGCACAAAAGATAACAGTAGAGAAAACATCCATTTCATAATCTTTTATACTGAGTCATCCATTTCGTTGTTCTTCAACAGACAACAGCATCATGATCATCATCATCAGTGCCCTTTCGCTTCTCGCTTCCACTCGGGCTGAAGATCGCCACATGGAACGTTAGATCGTCTTGAGAAGGCGTAAAAATCAGCAAATCGAGGTCTTCCAGATGGTGATCCTGAAAGAACTTGACCCAACCCTGCGTGATGTAAGCCCCTCCTTTAGATTGGCGGAGTAGAGCTGGCCATGAACCCCCAGAAGTGTCCCTCAAACTGATGGGGTTGCGAGATGAGTACCTGTGTTTAATCCCCCTCCAAAATGCTGGCGGTATTTTCTTCTCATTCAAACCCAAAATCAGATAAAGAGAGTTTTTAATGGAAAAGAAGATGTTTATAGTAATATCCAGAAAAGTAATCAAGAAGGAGAAACATTTCATCCCATCCGCTCCCCCCCTCCCTTGTTTAGGTCAATATATAGGAGAAATTACGGAATAAAGACAAAATGTCCCTCAAATTATGTCCCAAAAACTAATTCCTTTCGAGTTTTTTCATGAGGACAAAAATTTTCTTGACTATCATAAAGTTAAGGTCAATGGTCTATGAGCGTGAAATGATGAAGAACCAAGATGGTTTGTGTAATACTCTAAATAGAAGAATTTATAAATTGAAATGTAAAAGTTAACGCCCATGTCTATAACTTTTAAGCGTGTATTAATATGTAATAACTATGAATCCTTAAATATAAAGGAAAAAAAATAGAGACAACGAAAATCGCAAGCCAATTTACACATTAGAAAATGTCAAAATTAAATAATAAATAAAAAAAAAGATACACAGGAATATATTATACTTGAAAATATGGTGCCATTGATAATTAAATGTAGGTCTCTTTGAAAGAAATAGTAAGTTCGAAAGATTAATTTTGAAATGATTGTTCTCAACATTAATAAATTAAAAGGGTATTTTTTGTTATTTTACTTATTATTTTTTACTTACATAATCAAAGTAAGCCACTTTTACATCACAAGGGGTTACCTGTCCTGTTGTACATAGTTTGAGAGAGTTTTTGTCCTTTTAAAAAAACGTTGAGAGGCACTAATTTTTGAAAAATGATTCGGGGAGAGTTTTTTTCTTATCCCAATTCTTACCCACTTAAGAAAAGCACTCGACTATACAACAACGTGGAACTCAAGAAAATCTTAATACGAGCTCTATCACTAAATAAAATCATAAGAATTATTGTTGAAGTGATTTTGTTCTCCTATCCAAAAAAAAAAAAAACAATTCCAATCACAAATTTTCGCGAGAAGCTAAGTTCGCCATCGATTGGGTAATCCTACTGTTATTTAAGATTTTTTCTTGAAAAAAAATCGAGCATCTTAATATATTTGTTAACAGATAGAACAATTATGTAACGATTACCTCTTTATAAGATGCAATAATAAAGTACCAGTGCTTATGTGTTTATCTAACAAACAAAATAAACATATCCTATGTTGGAAGAAATTTGGGAATTTCCAATCTGTCATGTGGTAATTAAACCGATAAAAAAAAAATGAAAATGAATCCAATGTAAAATCAAATAAATATGTAAAATAAACGATAAATACTTAAGAGACGACTAATTCAACATGGGCATACATAAAGCACATGTTAATTTATGAGAAGAAAGAGAAATGAAAGTTTTTTTACCACGTTATTGACGTTCAAATCGTCCTTGATAATTTTATAAAAGCTTGGGTCGTGAAAGCCTCCGCCAACGTCATTTGAAACATTTCTCACCGTTGAAGAACTTCTCGTCATCTCTTTGGTTTGGTGAATTTTTAGAAAAGAGGAAAACTGATGATTTTTATGGCTCTTGGCGCAGCTTTAAGTCGGAGGGATTATTATAAGTTTAAGAATGCTAAAACTTAAGTACTATTAGATTATATATGTAGTGATCTTTTGTTTTTTCTTTCTATAACATGTAGTCATTTCGTCCTTCAGAGTATCACAAATTAATCAGATTATCAGAATTAACATATCAAATTAAACAGTGGATTAATGCTCATAATAATTTTTCTATAGGCACCTGCAGTATAATAATTTCTTCTTTTTTTTGGTT